ATTCAGGATCTGTTCAATTGCCAAAATATATATCTTTCTGTGCTTTCTACACACTTAGGAAACAAAATAGAAGTCTCTGTTTCTGCAGAGCCTGACCTAGAGCTAGGAGGTTAAGAGTAAGCCATTCCTGTAGGAAGTGCTCTTGGTTTTATTTAACGGCTGCAATCACATTATTACCCAGTAGCAAGGCTGAGTCTACATTTCTTTTGTAAACCAGAAGTAATTTTAGGGCTGTTTAGGCGTTTTTCTATGCTCTACCAAGTTCTCCACGCACTGAAATCATTCCCTCAGGAAAGTGACCTTCTCAGTAAGAAACTTGATCTTACAGGTATCAAATGACCTGAAAAGATCTTTCAGCAGTTTGGTCAGGATAACGTTAATAACCCAGCCCACAGGAGAATATCATGTACCAAAGCCTGTGTGAATTTGATGAATGTGGACTGCAAAGAAACTGACATATGCCCAATACTGTTCACCAAACAGTAAATGAATGAATTTCAACTATGTCTGCAGAACCACAAGCTGTCAGTTGGGAAGACTCTTCACCAACTTCCTCAAAAAGTTGCAATTCTGTATTTAGCACAACAAAAATACTGCCAACATCTTCTCACCCTAGAACTGAAGCTACTCAGACATGTAAATTTGTTTTATTATGCTCTCTTATCATATCCAAGTAGGCTACCACAGCAGCTCCAAGTACAGTACCATTAAAAAATATCAAGGAATCTATATTCCAATACATATATATAGTATATTGAACTGACAAACAACTACACACAGCGCTTTGAAACAGTCTGAAGAACTTATATTTGACATACAGTTTACAGCTCTAGAAAAAGGAGTTTTGTTTTACTGTAATCAGCACTTTTATTTGAAATATAAGTCACACCTTCTAAATATATACTCATAAGTCACCTCAAAACCCTATGTATTTAGGAGTTACAATGCCCTATCATTAGTTGTCATAAGCTGATAAAAGACAAATGCAATGCCAAGTCAGCAATTCAACCAATACAAGCTATATGTTTTATAGTTAAGGTTGCTATATGAGCAATGTCCTGTACAAAAACCTCCTGCATAAAACTGCGCATAGAACATACCAGTTTCTAAAAACGAGGCTATGTTGTACAAATAACTATAGACCTAAAACCGATGCTGAAACATTGAGCTTCGAAGAAAGAAAAATCTTCAACATCCATCAAAGCCTTGCATATCTAACTTTCACCCTCTCAGCATGGATCAGCAGAACACCCTTTTTTGACATGAACGGGAGTATTTTTTAAACATTAATTGCCCTACGTATGTCAGCAGTGCAGGCTTGGTAGTCTTCAAAAAATATCTGGAAGGGTCACAACCTATAGTATACTTTTTAGTAGGAATAAACAGAATATTTTCTCTAACGGGAAGTTACTGCAGGGAGGAAAGAGACAGTTTTTGCTCTATCCCCACCTTATGGCTAGAAAAAGAATTTTCCTGTTACAGCATACATATTTCTGATTTTTTTTCCTTTACTGCATCACTATAGCCAGAGAATATTTACTATTTGTATTGTGCAACTTAAGATTCTTTTTTAGCAACTGCGCACTCCTCCACATACAACCACAATGAAACTCCAAGGCATAAATGTCCTCTCTAGCACCTGTGTCGATTTTCTGAATCAAAACAGCAGACTTAATGATCCAACATGACTTTAGATCAAATAGAACGTGAATAACCTTCACTGATACACCATTCTTAATATTCACACTTTTTTTAACAGTTTTAAACCTAATAATCAGGTGATTTATACCACTCAGAAAATATTAAACTTACATGCCCTACAAATTAAAACAAAAGTATGCATGAATCTAGTTCTAAAGCTTTCACAATTATCTTCTCTTTGCTTATCTTGCAAGCAAAATGATGTGACCATGAGAGCTAGAATAGCGCACATTCCGCATGAGCAGACTTACTCAAGGTGGCAAACAGCAGATCCTCTTTCATCAGCCATTCCATACATGAGATGAAACAAAAACAGCAGCAGCACCCCACAAGGGAAAACACTCTCTTCCCTCATAGTCACCCGCTTATCAATAAACATTTTTCTTCTTCTTTTGTGCCTTAATCACTTGTGATACCACTCACTGGCCCAAGGACTAACATTAGCTACGTGAAAAGCTGAAAACCAAGACAAGGGCCACTAGAAGTACTTTTGCCAAATTCTTCTTCTTCCTTTTGACTTTTCCGCTTTTCATTGATGGTCATAGTGAAAGGGCGGGGTAGGACATGAAAGAGAAGAACACTCTGAAAGCTGCGAAGAGAAGAAAGAGAGTGGAAAAACTGGATAATGTCTTAGTGTGCCTTTAATTTTTTAGGCCTCCTATCCTGCTTTCCTGAGGAAATGAAGAGTCATAATTGTATTGTCTGAGCACCGCTCCTTCTCAAAATCTCTTTACTCTTACCTTTAAAACCAAAGGAAACTCAATAATGAGTCAATAGTCTCAATGGTTTCTGAACACTAAATTTCTCAAGTTTGCATGAAAAGTTGAGTAGAAGAGACACCTTATTAATTCTTCTGCATGACTCTTCCCTCAATAATCCTCGCCTTTTTCCTCCTAACAGCAGAGAATCAACACAGGAATTCAAATAAGAGAACCCAACTTCATTAGACCTTCTACCACAGATCTAGTTTAAAAAGACATTTTCTAGAACTACATGCTTTGATGTTTTGTCATTAGAGATTCAATAACAGAAAACAGACTATTAGTATGTCCTCCAAGGTTATATTAATTGGAAGTGTTCATGGGTATTTAGACAACACTTCTGTAAGGAGCTTTGATTTTAAAAAAACAGTAAGGAGTACTGGGTAGAGAAGAGATCCTATGTATATACATGAAGGAGTACAGAAGAGCTGCCAAATATGAATATAATTAACTTTATGGTGAACATTCAAGAAGAAGATACTAGAAAAACATAATAGCATTGTATATTTCTGAATGCTTAACCACACTACATCAACCACATGAATTTTCAGTAAGCATTTATTTAAACTTTAGAGAGAAACCTGAATCCTGCCAAGCTATTCAGGTCTTCTGAATAGCTGCCTGCTTCAGCTGTTACGAAATGCTCACAAAGTACTGGCAATCTAGTGACAGGACACATTCTGACTCGAACTTCTCGGAGCTTATCGAAAAAAGTCCCTCTCCTATAAAAAAACCCCACACCTTCTTAACCATGAATACAGGCCAAAAAACACTGTATAAAATATTTTAAAAAGTACACTGGTGGCTGGTTTTAGCCCTTCCTTGCCTCCTTTCCCAATGGTAGCTGATCATCCATTTGCTACATAAGAATAAGAACATTCCACTAAGCTCAGAGTGGATCTCGCTCCTAGGCAAATCAAGAAAGAAAAAGTGAAAGTGGACATCAAAACAAGTTCCAAAAGAAGCTACAGCACTCAACTGTACAATGAGGAAAGGTATGTGATTATACAAGACCATAAGAAAGTATTGCAGGGAGAAATTAAGAGAAAACATTTCTAACAAAGGAAAATCTAGTGTTGCAATAAAATTGTTAAATCATGGACAGTAATTACAAAAAAACCCATAAATACCTAGTCAGATCTCCCTTATTCCTGAGAACGTACTTCGTATTATTAAGTCCAAATATTCTCTACACATGTATGTTCTCAGCTTTCTTTGTGGATTCCAAGGGAGTAAGAAAAGAAAATGCAGAATAAGGAACCTAGTCAACCTTACAAGAAGCAGACTGAACTAAGTCCTATGAGTTAAGTAAAGCAGAAGAGTCATCCTTCCTTTCTGCATACTGTAAAAGGATGATTTTTCACAGGTTGTACAGGTTTTTAAAAAGTACATGGACATGATATGAAATTTGAAGTTCTGGCATTGCTCCAGTTTCCTTAGACTACAAAAATATTTATAAAATGCAATTGTTTTTCGCTGAGTTTCTAGAATATACTCAGTAACATCTTAAACAAAATTAGACTACTCAATACATAATGTTTTTAAAAATTCTTTAAGAATAGCTCACTGTGCATATAAAGGATCAGCTACCACATATTCCACAAGACTGTAATATCAGCTCAAACTGTGAGATTCAACTATATCTTTATTAAAAGATTTATTAAGCAAAGTGTTCAGCAACTGTTTAAAATATCAGATTAGGAATAGAATATGATTTTAATTTAAAAAGATATTTTTATATAACGTACATTTACAGACTTCTGACGTTAGGATGACACTCCAAAGGGGGATGTAGCTTGGCACTCATGCCAACTTATCTTCACTATTTGTACAGGATCTAACTTCAAAAACATCAGCTGTGCCAGATCTTTTCTTTTCCATAATGTACATCTGTCCACAGCAACTGAATTAGAGACCACCAACTTGTCTCATACACCACATCAAACAATAGGCCAGCTTAACAGGTCAGAGCATGATTTAGAAATACAAAATACATATTCTTTCCCCAGAACACAGAAGTTTTAGCCTACTTTTCAAAGCAATTTAAAAATATTAAGACATTTATAAATAAATTGAAGCCAAGATATTTAATACACTAGTTTCTACAACAATTGTTTTGAAAGCCAAGATTTTGTTTAGCTAGTAAATCTGCTTTGAGCTGCCTAATCTATAATGGATTTAGTGAAACCTGCATTTTTATTACTCTTCTCCTTTAAAAGTTTCACACTTCTCATAATAAATGACACATCGTACCTGAAAAGTGACTATGGTATAGGCATTCCTCCATTATTATGGAAGAAATAAGGTACATCAAAAGTCTTAAGTGACAAGTGACACACATTTTAAAATTATGCATGAAGTGTATGAAAATATACATTTTAAGATTCTTTTTTTTTTTTTTAAAGAAATAGCAAGATACTTAGGAGACAGACATCAATAAAACTAAATACTTCCACAAGTGCAAAAGCTGGCTCACAGGATCTCACGTTAGTAAGAAAACACAGAAAAACATGCTTTGAAATTCCAGTGGTCTGTTTTCTAGCCTCTGCTTTTCTTTAAAATAACCTGCAAAAAGAAAAAAGTATATTTATCACTGCTTTTATCACTACAATCCAGACAGCAGCAAGAGATCCAAAACGCTAGGCTACTCAGACCAAAAGTTCACCCAGCCAAACAATCTGTTTCCAAAAGTAGAGTCACCAAGGGTAAAAGTCTATGGAAAAGGTTAGAAATAAAGAAAAAGCATGGAGAAAAATGACATATCAGAAAGTATTTTTTTTAAATAAGACCATTCATGACCAAGAACTTTGTAAAATAAAAGGCTTATTTTAAAAATTAATGCTGAGAAGTGGCAACAGCGCTCTCAAGCCCTCAGAAGATTCCTTGAAGCTCTTGCCCTGTTAGGCCTAGACAAAAAGAAAAAAAATAAGATTTGCAATTATGCAGCTACTATGGTCAATTTATATTTGTAATGCCTTATTTCTTTCTATATCAAGAGTGCCCAGACCCTTGGAAGGACATTTTTTGGTTTGGAGTTTAAGTTGAAAAATGAACTTCAAAGTCCAAGTGGGACCATTTAAGTGTTAACATTATTAAAATACAGGCAGTTTTTCCTTTCTTCTCATCTTAAAAAAAATAAATGGAGCACAAAAATGTTCAAACAATGTTAAGATTGCAGTTAAAAAGAAATTACAAATGCGTAAGATTCCAACTCTAACATTCACTTGGCTACCCTACACATCCTGTATATATTTCTGTTACTATAGTAATAGAAAGTATCAAACTAAACATTTCACCAGAGGGAAAAAAAAATACTGACGATAAACAGAAGCCACAGGACCCAAATATCAGACAATACTGAGTTTTGTTCTTCGAATTTGCCCAGCAGCAGTAGGTAGTTGAACAGATAACCCAACAAATTAAAGAGACTGAGTTCCTTCACGAAACCTAGGTAAAGCACACATATCCTAGTGAGTGAAATGAACTACAGAATACAAAAGGATTTCAATCATACTTTGATACTACTCTAATTCTTTCTAGAGAAAGATAGCTGCGTAACAGCTTCCTCTTTCTCTTCTTTTGCATGTGCACAAAACTTACCATGCTCTGTAATGCAGGGGATTCCTCCTCCACAGATACTCATACAGCAATTTTTTTAATGCTGAACTACCCATATAGCAATCCACAGTTTAATCCTCCCTTTGTTCTTCCCTTGCCGAACACAACATCACACAAAGTATTTGTTCAAGCAGCATCCACACAATGCTGCAAGAATCCTCTTCAAACGTCCTTCAGACTAAGCAGGTAAGAACCGAAGATGTAAGATATTTTAACCTCTGTGGACTATTTCTCACTTGTTCCATAAAGCTTCATTTATATTACTGAAGTTAAGACAGCATGCTTCCTTGATATAGTATCATCTGAAATAAAGATCCTCCAACTTTCAAATTTGCTCCTGTTCCCTGGGCTTTCAGCCCATGGATGCTTGCTGGTAGACTACTGTGTAGACTTACCCACATATTGAAACTATGAATGTAAACATGGAATAATCAAGAAAAATAGGGCTACATTTAGTAGGGCAAGGAGAGTTAATTTGATGTCTGGGTAACAGTGAATTATGCCAATGATGGATTAAAGAACATGATGTTTCTGCAGGTTTTGGATTATAAATAAAAACATATCAACACTAACACAGAAAACTTTTGCATATGCTCTCATACATTTTACACTGAACAAAAAAGAAAAATATTAAAATGCATTATTACCTTTGCTGCAGCTATAGTGTGCTCAGGTTTAATTATTTTACTTTTGTTCTCAAAAGCATTTGTCCTGGCTTCTTCTGCTAACCGATGTAGAAACAGTAAGAAGTTCAAATGCACCTTTAAAAGAGGGAAGAAAAAAAAAATCAAGAAGGATTCCAACTGTTTAAGCACAGTTTGTTTTTTTTAGAGGTTCATTGTTTGAGACAGAAGGATTCACATATTAGACTGCTTCCAAATTCTTCAAAGGTGTTCTCAGGAACACAAAGTACCATTCAGTTCAAGTCTTAATAAATTCCCAAGACGTTCCTTGCTGCAAGCCACTTGTAAATATAGTTTAAATTCAGTATATTTAAATTGTAAAAGTGTTCTAGAAATGATCATACAAACAACACCTGATCTAACAGAAATCAAATCTGATTTTTATAACCAGTTTCTTATAATAAAATGTAAACATAAATATCACAGAATAAGTAGGAGCCTTTTTGCTTGCTAGTAACTATAGTCAGCTTTCAGCGACTACAACAGCTAGACTTTTGAAGAACAGCAAATTCATCCCTGCCTTATCACCAAATGGACCACAGACAAGTTCAAGGACTTCTGCCCCTTTCCAGTGCAAAGGAGCATTGACATTAATTTCTCCAGAACAAGAAATTCTCGGCTGTCAGGAGTTTCCATCCATTTTTTCCCAGCTCATCACTTATTAGTCCTTTTTACATGAAAAGAACTGGTAGGGCAGTATTCCGTTCAATACAGAATGCTGCTCAGCTAATACAGAAGCAGCAAAAATTTCAGCAGGCAAGGAACTGCTCCAGCTTGGACTAAAAACTGCCAGCCAAAAGCACCCCTGTGCAATAAGGGAACTATAATACAAACCTCTAACATTATACAGACTTTATGTGAACTATTTCAATAGTCCAACGTGAAAACTGGTAATTGCACCTTTTGTAAATTAAACTTTCAAACAATATTAACTTTGCTAAGTAAAGTATACAAAAATACTTTTTCAATCAAGAGCTTAGAAAAATATTACTGAAATATACGAAAATTTTATTTATATGAATTAGGCGATATTCTGCCATACCTGATCTGCAAAGCCTAGAAAGATATAACAAGGAAAGTTACAAGTTAGAGTTCATAGGGAATACTTCGGCAGTGGGTTTGGATCACAAAGCATCTGTTAGAGGACAGGCATTTCAGTGTTCGTATGACAAGTAGTTTAGGGTTTTTTTTTAATCTCCTGAACTAAATGAAGCCAGCGTGCAATAGATAAATTTACATAATATTTGACATCAAACTGGACTGGCTAAGTACCACAGTAGATTCAAACATAAAGCATGGGTCATTCAGGAAGATAGCCCAGAAACTGAACTAGCCAATTCTCATATTTCCCTGCAGAAGACACAAGCACTCTGCTCAAAATGCATATGGTTTCGTCTTGTTAAGAGAGCTAGTATATAAATTTCTAAAGTATTCAATCTAATCACTCTTATAAGGTTTGTAGGGAATAACAGAGACACTAAAAAACATACTTACACTACTTACACTACTTACTTGTCTAACTACAGGACTAAATTCCCCCCCTTTTCTTTTAAACAAAGCAAAAGTCCAGCTGTGTTGATTATTTATTCATAAAGAGCTGTTAGCCACATGCCTAGTTAAAGAACATCACACACAATCACCACCCCTGGACATTCCTGTTTAAAGGTAAAATAAAAAAGCCAAGCTTCCTAACATGAAAGGCCATTTAATTTGACATTACCAGAAGAGATAATCTAAGCTTCCACCATATTATTAAAATTCATTCTCATCTCGTCTTTTGTGTTGGAATGAGTATTTGCATAGCCATATTTTAAGCTAGATCACATTGTTGTTGTTCATTAGTTTCAGTGAATTCAATTCACTGATTATCTTTGAAGTCCACAGAACACTAGTGCCAGGACAAGGAAGAGATGGGAACCAATGGCTAAGATTTGGAAGGATGTCCCACTTACCCCTTTTCAGACAGCTACACCACCTTGAAGCCAAGTTAACATGAGTACAGAAACACAGACCAACTGTTAGTAACGACTACAAAAAAAATTATTAGTGATTGTGTAAGTTTGATTAGTTGACTAATGCATTCCACTGAGTAAGCTTTGAGCAGGTCTGAGCATGAGTAGCAAGGGGACATGTCCTTAGTTCATAAAATACTCCAAAGATAGCAAAAGCAGTAGGAAGACATCATATTTTTATTAGACCAATTAGAAAAATATGTACTGTTCACATTCAAATGTAAATCCTTTCATGTAATTACCATATTCATTCATATCAGTCTCCTTTTTTTTTTTAATTTTGTATATTTACATTTAGCTTCATATATCCAGACACCAACCTTCAAGATGCTGCAAGACACAACTTTTATACACATATGAAACATGGACTTACAATTCAAGTCAGGGACCATACTAGTATACAGTATGCATTAATGCTCTAAGAATCACACACATTTGAAAACAAGAGGGCATGACTGTCAAGCAAGTTAAGTCTATTAAGTCATTTCAAAGAATATTTTTTTTATGCACAGATATTATTATTTTTTTTCAATATGGCAGCTACCACAAGCTCTCCTGAGGTCAGGTTTCCTTGCTGTAGTTGAGTAATTTCTTGGTGAGACAAACCCTTCCTGTGCCACAAATCCCTTATTGCAGGTCAGAAGGAATCCAGCTTTGTTGACCTCAGTTTTCTGAAACTTGTTCAATATGGCTCTGTTATCCCTGCACCTTTATGGCAGATGTTTTTAAATCACGAACAGGATCCCAGCACCTTATTCTCCTCATTAGATTACGAACAAGACTTGTCATTCCTGCGTTGAAGATGCCTTAACAGTTTAGCAACTCATTACTCACAATTCAGTTGGTTGATACCTGTACACCCAAACTGCTCTACATAAACAACAAACATCTGCACCTTATAGCCACATAATCCAAATTCGTATTTGTCAGTCCGTCTACATCAACCTCTTTGAACAGCAGTGTGTACACGTAGTGACACAGTATTTATGCATCAGTCTGTCCCTGAAACCCCAAATTGTCAGAAACATACAATACAGTAGCCACCAGCAAAGCAGAAAGCTGCAATCACTACTTACTAGTATTTTATTAGACTAATCAATCATCTGTCTCCCCACAAACTGTGCCTCCCCTCTGTCTGTAGGTCACAGCAGAAACACCATTAGTAGTAACTTGACATCCCATTACACCCAGCACCTCCTAGAGTGCTCCAGTGCGCACAATCCGTCGGTCCACATCTTTCAAGCGATAAAACATTTCGAGACTAAATGTCCCTATTTAGGCACACCTGCCCCTAGGCAACCAGAAGAGCTGCAGCTGCCCGCCACGGCCAAAAGCACAACTGCTCCCGGCCCTGTGCTACGACCCCAGGCTCCCCGGGGGAGCACTCATGGAGCAGGAGGATTGAGCCCTTGAGCTCACCGCGCTGCCCGAGCGGCTGGGGACCGCAGCCGGCTGCTTGGAGCAGGCGCTGCCCCCCGCCTGTGCCCGGAGCAGGCAGGCTGGAGGCTGCCGGGGCCAGCGCTGAGGGGCGGAGCGGCCCGCACCCAAACTCCAGGCCGCACACTCGGCGCCCGCCCCTCTCCTTCCTCACCAGCAGGTCGGCGTTAGCCGCCAGGCGC